TGATCATGCCCTTGCAAGTAAAAACTGCAGCGTCTGTGTGTTTCTACCTTTAGATTCTTAGCTGAAGATGTGTCTTTAGAATAAATCTCTTGACATTTATTTTGGTCCTTCGAAGCCGGGGCAGAAATATCAGAACTGTTATCTGTGACTCTGTTCCAGGATCCAGCACTGATTCCTGACGCCGTGGGAAGCCAGCACCGAAAGTCTGTGCACAGCCCTCTTAGACGAGGCCGAAAGACCTGGGACGTTAAATTCGAGTCCAGGCCGGTGGGTTTTTTTTTTAGTCTGGTCCACGGCGGTGGGATTCAGTCTGACGATCTGAACCACCAGTGATAAGTCTGAGGGTAAGAAACACTATTTTGATATATAAAATGGCCGCAAAGGTTTAAAGACACATGATATAATAGGTTTCAGTTCGCCAAAAGGAACTGTGTTTAGACTGGTTTTAGAGGTAAGTGTTAAATACTTCGTGAAAAATTAGTGTGCAAATGTTTATGTGTGTGTATGTGTCTGGAAGTAAGTTGATTTTACAGCACAGTACGCTGCTAAACGACTTCTATTTTTTGTTTTGTTTTGTTTTGTTTTGTTTTGTTTTGTTTGCTTGAGGCTCACGTACTGGTGACAGAGGAGAACGGTTGAGTTTCATTTCATAAAACTGATACCGCTTCACCTGTAGAGTGAAGTCGAAGGCCGTATCAGTAAACCACTCTGAAGTCAAGCGTGCCAGTGATGGCCCAGCAAAAAATCTTTGAAAATGGGGAATAAACAAGCAAAATTAACACCCGATGAGGAATGGTTAGAAAAACAACAAACAGGAGCAGGTAGAATAAGTGCAAGTAGGTGGAGAAATCCACGAAAAGCTAAACACCTCAGCTGGGAGGGGAAATGCAATCCCTCAGCTGTTACCCAGCTGAGAGCTGCTCTGAAACAAGAAATTACATTAACAATAGACCCACAGAAAAAAAATTAAAACGTAAGGAAGAATATAAACTTTTCCAAGCATGGGAAAACGAAAATGAAAGGAGAACACAGAAAGAGAAAAAGAAAAAACAATTGGCAGCAGCTTTAATAGCCCCTGATGATGAAACTACAAAGCAGGCACATGCTGAACAAAAGCCTCCACTGACAGACCCACATAACTCTCCTTTAAATCCCTCCGTTAAACTTTCCACACTAACTGCAGAAAAAACAACCAGCATTAAACCGAAAAAATCTAGCTTTAAACGATCTCCCATAGTGACAAGAGCAATGAAAATTAAATT